GAATAATTTCCCTCCCTACCTTCCCATCTTGTGCGCCACTCTGCTGAAGATGTTGGTTCCAATAAGATAGGAGATAGACGCAGGTAAGAAAGCGACGCCTTGGCCACGGACACACACACACACAAAGAAAGAGAGAGGAGAGAATAAGGGTTTGGCGAGATAAGCAGATCTCTATCATCGCCTCATTTCTGAGCTGCTCTACTCCTTCCATTGTCTGTAATGAAGACTCGTGCCCCCCACCTGCCAGTAGACGGCACCCTAATATCCTGTTCCACACTGGCCCCGCTCACTATCTGACCTAGACTTCATATGAAGCAAAAGCCGAGGAACAAACTAATAACAGCATGGACTGGAAGAAGACTGTCTCCAAAATGTTAACCAGAATAAAAGAGTTACGGAGAAAATGAAAAAAAAAAAATGTATCTAATAATGTTTTTGTGTCGATGAAAATATACAGTAGACCTTAAAAACTTTTTAAAAAAATCTAAATCAATTTGGTGTCTCCTATATGTTTAGGACCTTTGAGAACGACCAAACGAAAACAAAATAATAAATTAAGTATATTGTTTGTCATGTTGTTAAATTGACATTGATTGTCTGTTATTATGATGTAGTAATGAAATCTGCAGAAATAGTACGACTAGGGGGCTTCTTTCTTCTTTATCTTAACGCAGTGGTTCTCAATTTAATTTCCCTCAAGTCACCCATTGGGGACAGAAATGTTTTGAGCCCCGCCCCCAACCCACACCACCGTGAATTGAAACACTATTGAGAACATGTATATTTTTATCTGTATAAACCACTGTATGAGTTGCTGCCCCCTAGTGACTGGAGGCTTTTTTATCATTCATGCATTACAGCAGTGGTACACTACAACATTTATATATATATGTTTTTTGTTTTTTTTTAATTTTCATCAGATTTTGTGTAGCAATACATTTGGTCTGCATTATAGCCAGGATCGTCTACGTTTGCAAACTGTACTAAAAAAAACCCATTGTAAAAAAAAAAAACCAACAACAACAGAATTACACTTTGTCAGGCACATGCCAGGTTGTTTACAGCTCCTACCTAGCTGCCATTTACTAGGACACATGGTTTGCATCATCCAGATAGGCAGTGTTGGTTCCATCATTGCAATGCCCATATTTCCAAAACAAATGGCACCTGAGGATTCAGATTGATCAGTTAATCTGTATGAACCATATAGCAATCTTACCTCCAGGTATTTTGTACGGTATTGCTGCTTCTTGTCTCACCTGCTGCAATTAAAATATATGGATCTTTCATCAGTGTCAGCAACGATGAGCCCTTCTGACTCTGTAAGAAAATACAAAAAAAAAAAGAATTAAAAGAAATAAAATATATATAAAAATCTGTTTACCATAGATGGTTTTCTTTTAAATTAAAAACCTAGTTTTTGTTATTTTAAATTGGAGAAGAATGTATCAGATGTAAATGACATGTATTAATGAATCTAAATCGAGAATAAATTGAAACGTACCTCTGGTTTAACCTTCGTGGGCCGAAGAACACAAAGTTGCAGTGCTGCAACGACATATTCAAGATCACTTTCAAATCTTAATGATGTTATTTTTATTTTCTCATAGCTCCACTCCCATTGTCAATTTTTGATTTCCGTGTTGACTGTGCAACCATTGAATGAAAAATAAAAAAGCACAGTGACTGTACCTCCGTCCAAAAGAGCCAGGGAAGCCAGAATAAGGAAAGGAGCTGTCTCTCCAACAAACTGATATATCACACTGCCAAATGTGGGCCCAACTGTGAATGAGAAACAGACGCAAAGCGGTGATGGTTACTGTTCCCTGTACAACACAGCTCAAAATACAGGATTCAAACCATTTTCAAGTTGCTGTCAGATAACGCGGTGATTCTCAACGGGTGGGTGAACAAAAAGTGACAAGCTTGTCGTTTCAGTGGGTTGTGGTAAAAAAAAAAAATGTTGAGGGGAAAAATCAGCAAAAAGAGTCATGAAGCCATCAAAAACAAGAAATGTCATTCAAAGCTGGATTTTGCATTTGCTAAAAATCAGTTTACGGAGACACCACGGGCACATATACCGTAATTTCCGGACTATTGAGCTCACCCGAATATAAGCCGCACCCACTATATTTCAAAAGAAAGAAATAACTGTTCATATATTGGCCGCACTTGTCTATAAGCCGCAGGTGTCTCCATTGTAACGTGGCATATTTACACAGAAACATTTTTTTTTTAACTTTTAATTAAATAAATGCTTTTTTTTCCTAACAGTTCCTGTAACACGGCTAATAGCACGTTAGCTCGCAGTTGGAATGCACAGAGGAGACTTAGTGATCTGCTCCAGGGCCGAAGCTAACATTAGCTTCGGGGCTAACTCCCTTCACTTTGTGCTTGCTGTCCGCAGTAGAGGTAAACAGAATTGAACAGAATCATTTCGCCTCATCATCGTCTCGCCTCAACTGCAAGATGCAAAATGAAACATGTCACATGGGGACAGATGCCACCTTCAAGCTTTGCAAAAACATATTCTGCACATTTCCCAAATCGTCATATTTGGCCTTTTTGGGGAGTAATTGCTTGTAGTATAGAGTGCCAAAATTATCGTACGGATGCGGGCATTATCGTACGCACAGCAATGCTGGTTGATCGTGTCTGGCTCATAGCAAATTAGCCTAGTACAGGCATGGGCAAACTAAGGCCCGGGGGCTGGATGCGGCCCGTTCAGTTTTTTAATCCGGCCCGCCAAATGTTTCCAAATGATATAATTTATTTATATTATCGTTATACTTCTGCCTTGTCCCTGCAATACCCATGTTTCACATGTGTATACACACTTAATACTCCCAGTGCCAGGCCAGACAAGGCGATACCAATAGCTTCGCTCCGTTCCTCATCATCTGTGTACACGCTGGCCAGCAATCCCATTCCTGAAAAAACAAACACACACTGATGATCCCATTCCTGAAAAAACAAACACACATACACTGATATGACAAATGTCAATTAACACATAAAACATCTAAACGTGACTTTATAAGTGTATTGCTAATGGTTATCACGCAACTTTGACTGTAAAATTGTATCTTCAGTCTTACTTGAAGTGTTGCCATCAGTGGGGAAACTAAACTGATTTGATCCTGTTATTGAAATTGAATGATTTTTCCCTTCCTCTAAGAATACACTGTTTTATATGCAGGCCACTACTGGAATTATCCTCGATAACGTCTGCAAATGACATGTCTTTATTAGCCCTAGTGCGGTCCTTCGGGTCAAGGTGACCACCGGGTCACCTCGACCCAATATGTCTTTGTTAATACTCATATTCTGGGACAAGATGCAAATCATTGCAAGGACAAACGGTGTGTACAAAAATGCGAAGGACAACGGGAGGGTTAGCTGAAGCATTATTGCAAATGATTTACTCTCTTCTCGAGGAACCTTGTCACCCGTGACCGACTGTTAGAATTGAGACTACAACTGATAATCTAGTACTATTGGAAGACAAAAAACAATGTTCAATGAATGCTAAATCACTGAGACTTACTGAACAGTTTAAAAATATGTGTATGTCTGAGTAGAGGGGAAGACCTTACCGCCCACAGATGAGCAGGATGAGCCTATACCTTGGAGCGATCTTGCTATAAACAGCAAGGCGTAGGTCTTCGAAAAGGCAAACACTTCACAACAATGAGAAGAGACGTATCGATAAGGAAACATCAGTCATGTGTTGGCCTATTTCATCATCTTAAAGCACATGCTGCCGTTTACTTACTGATTGTTGAGGCGAACATGATACAGAAGCCAATAAATATAGGAAGCTGATATCCTATTCTGCAGGAAAAATATAAGAAAAAAGAGAAAAGAGGATTTTTTTTTTTAGTCTTTTACACAAACATAAAAAAACATTTCTTTTCCAAGTCTCAATAGACTTGTCTTTAAGACTTCAAAATTACAAAGGGGTCCTGGTTTTACCACATGCTTGACCTGAAGTACTTCGTGGTTACATTGCAGTCTCCATTAAAAGTTATGAAGAAAGTCTTATTAGGATCAGTATCTTTTTCATAATGCGAAAAGGAATGAACGACTCGCTCTTTTAGTTTACGACATCCTCGATTCAAGACATTTCATGGCTACGTAGCCTAGCTAATTGTATGCCATACGTTGGATTGCACTCCATTTGCTTTCTTTAGTTTGTGCTGTTTTTTTGGGGAACTTCCGATGTTATTATATTTTCACTTACGGTGAACATTCTGACAGACCCCTGTTGTTGTGTCGTCTGCCATGTCTTAGGCATCACTGACAGAAAAGTGATGAGAAATTAAAAATGATGTTGGCCATTAGATTAAAGCTAATATTATTACTAAAACTAGATTTTGTAACCATCTGATACCATTATATCAGGGCTTCAATCCAACTAACTGTGGCCTTTTTGAAGTGACTTCTTCAATGAGTTCGTTGTATATTCATATAATTTTTTTTATTTTACTAGGAATTATTTTTAATTATTTTAATTATTATTTTTAATTATTATTAATTATTTTATTTTAAATTTTTACAATTTTTTTTATTATTTTTTTATTTGTAAAAAAACTTGAAAATGTATCACTTTATGAAACTGAAAAATAATACTACAGTGGGGACTTCGAGTTACAGGCTACCCCGAATTAATTTTCCAAATTACGAGTAAGCAACTTTTGCAAGATTTTCCTTGCGAGGTAACGTCAGCAACTTTTGCAAGATTTTCCTTGTGAGGGAACGTCGAGTTACGAGTGCTCAACTGAGCTCCATTTTTCTCGCTCACTGTCCGTCACTTGGTTATCTTGCCCGTGACTTTTTTTTATGTTTAGATGAGGTGGGAGTTTGATTTAATTAATTAATAGTACATTTCTGGGGGTTGGAGCGAATTCATTTGTTTTCAGTTTTTTTATAATGAGGAAAATGCAATCAAGATACTGCTGTTGTGGAACGGATTCAACTCGTATCTTGAAGCCCCAGTGTATTTTATCTGCGCTGCCTGTTTAGTGTTGTTGTTGCTTTGGGGTTTTGTTTTTTTTTTTTAATGGTGTATAAACATACACATCCTTGAGTCAAAACATAAATTATTAAGGTTGTCCATGCAGAAACAAAATCAGGATTTCTGCTCTGTTTGAATCTGTTTGATTAGATCTGACATGACAACCCCAAAGGCGCCATTCATTTCATGTTTTCAATAATGCATGAACAAAACGTTCAAATTAAAAAAAGAAAAAAGCTTCCCATTACACGTGTGCTTCATACAATAGAAATGAATTTTAACCATCGTTCCATAATCATGATTCTAAACAACCAATAAAATGACCATACAGTTCAACTATACTCACTATAAATGTCACAAGTGTGTTTGTAATAGCAGGCGTGATGTCCTGCACCATTTGTGATAGTGAAAGTAAATGCTGCAAATGGTATGTGGTTAATTAATAGTAGGGTTCAAATGCACTTGTTTAGATTTACATTCATGAATGGGGTGTACTTATGGAACTGACCTGACTTGTAAAATGATTTTGTTCATTACTTGGGCAAATACAGTGGACCCCCCGAGATACATAACACTGTTACAAGTGTTTAACAAAATAAAAATATTATATATAAAACACATATACTGTATATATATTCATATATATATATATATAATCCTTCCCCTACACTTAATGGTACATGTTGTTTTGGTCCTTTACTACAGTCAATATAAGAAAATCCATATTTTCTATGACCCGTGTTGGACCTGCATTTCACAGTGCTCAGTTAGCATATGTATAGAGAGTTGTCAGGGAGTGCAGAATTATTAGGTATTAAGTTGTATTTTTGAGGATTCATTTTATTATTGAACAACAACCGTGTTGTTAATGAACCCAAAAGAGTCGTTAATATCAAAGCTGAATATTTTTGGGAGTTGGAGTGGGGCTTTTTTTTTTGGTTTTAGCTATTTTAGGAGGATATCTGTGTGTGCAGGTGACTATTACTGGACTATTAGTGGCAAAACTGGTGGCAAGTGGCATCTTGGCAGCTGCTCTCTTGACTTTTCTCAGTTCATGGGCAGTTATTTTGCGCCTTGGTTTTTCCACGCGCTTCTTGCGACCCTGTTGACTATTTTGAATGAAACGCTTGATTGTTCGATGGTCACGCTTCCGAAGCTTGGCAATTTTAAGAGTGCTGCATCCCTCTGCAAGATATCTCACTATACCCCACCTCCACCTTGCTGGCGTCTGAGTCGGACTGGAGCTCTCTGCCCTTTACCGATCCAGCCATGGGCCCATCCATCTGGCCCATCAAGACTCACTCTCATTTCATCAGTCCATAAAACCTTAGAAAAATCAGTCTTGAGATATTTCTTGGCCCAGTCTTGACGTTTCAGCTTGTGTGTCTTGTTCAGTGGTTGTTTTTCAGCCTTTCTTACCTTGGCCATGTCTCTGAGTATTGCACACCTTGTGCTTTTGGGCACTCCAGTGATGTTGCAGCTCTGAAATATGGCAAAACTGGTGGCAAGTGGCATCTTGGCAGCTGCACTCTTGACTTTTCTCAGTTCATGTGCAGTTATTTTGCGCCTTGGTTTTTCCACACGCTTCTTGCGACCCTGTTGACTATTTTGAATGAAACGCTTGATTGTTCGATGGTCACGCTTCAGAAGCTTGGCAATTTTAAGAGTGCTGCATCCCTCTGCAAGATATCTCACTATTTTTGACTTTTCTGAGCCTGTCAAGTCCCTCTTCTGACCCATTTTGCCAAAGGAAAGGAAGTTGCCTAATAATTATGCACACCTGATATAGGGTGTTGATGTCATTAGACCACACCCCTTCTCATTACAGAGATGCACATCACCTGATATGCTTAATTGGTAGTGGGCTTTCGAGCCTACACAGCTAGGAGTAAGACAACGTGCATAAAGAGGATGATGTGGTCAAAATACTCATTTGCCTAATAATTCTGCACTCCCTTGTTGTCTTCACTGATTGATCGCGATTTGATGAAAGTGACTAGTCTCAACTCGCGTCACAGGGGTATTATCGCTTCCTACCAGAGGTGTAGACTCGAGTCAAACGACTTGGAGTTGAGTCAGACTCGTGTCAGAAATGACTGATGATGACTTTGGACTCGACCTGACAAAGAATAAAGAGACTTTCAACTCAACATGGACTTTGACATCAATGATTTGTGACTTCACTTAGACTTGATGGTTTAGATTTGAAAAGATTTCCTTTTACTGTAAGGAGACTTGAAATGAAAGAATAAATAAATGCGTTTAACAACACCCCGTCCTTGATAACCCCGGACACGAACCTTTGTTCCGCTGTGTCTTATAAGTCAGCATTTTTTCTTCTTCTTCTTCTTACATTAGTTTAAATCAGTGGTTCTCAATTATTTTCTCTTATGCCCATTGGGGGACAGAAATGTTTTCAGCACCGCCCCCTAACCCACACCACCGTGAATCGAAATACTATTGACAACCTGATAACATGTATATTTTTAATCTGTACAAACCACTGTATGGGTTGCTGCCACCTAGTGGTTTCAGACTTGTTATTATTTAAACATTACATCAGTGGTACACTTATGTCCAGCGTGCCCGCCCCACTATTTGAGAAGTACTGGTTTAAAGTTACGCTATATTAAGAATATGTGCGCCATTTAGCTAGCTGTCAGATGGGAAAGGGAAAACAATGTTACACTGATAGCTGCGCTTACTCGCCAGCAAACCAGAGTCTATTGACCGAAACAGCAAGGTTACCTGGGGGCAAATGTGAATTGTTGGTCTACGCACTTTCATATTTATACGGCGAACATGGCTGCAGTGACTTTCTTGTCATTTGTGAACTATTTTTGAAATAGTCAGCCCAACCACAACAGGCTCCAATCTCACATTTCCCACAGATATGTGTATACAGCTGTTGTTAAATATGCAACCCACTAAAAAATGGTACACAACCCACTATTGGATCACGACCCAGCAGTTCTGAATCACTCGTTCATTCAGTTGCTTTTTAATACTTAAGTACAGAAAACCTTCAAAAAGTCATAGAGCACATAGAGAACAGTTAATTCAGTGCAGGGGTGTCAAACTCAAATTCACAGTAGGCCAAAATTAAAAACTGGGAGCAAGTTGCGGGCCAAAATTGACAGCAATCGTGCATGTTTTCTGTTCTCTTCAGATTTGAAATGTTGACTTTTTCATATGGATACAAATTTTAGTTTTGTATAAACGTTGCATTTGGAACATCCAAAGCTTACAATTATAAACAAGTCTTTTTTTCACAGGCTAAGAACAACAAAAAAAATGTATGTGCTATACCATTGCTCATATACCGCTAATACTACAAACTCTGCCAGTATAAAGGAGCCAACTGGCGGGCTAACTCTAGTACACATTTGATATGGCCTATGTTTGATGATCTGGTGTGTTAATCGCTCCCAAATGTCCAAAGTTAAATATGTGTACATAAACGGGGAACATGTTTGTAGCTATTTGTGTTCCATTTTATTAACACCCTGCAGCAGTTCCTTCGGGATCTTTACCTCAACAAGATCTTTGCAACCTTTACTCAACTGAAGAAGAACTATACACTCTCAGACATGATCTTCCATTATCTACAAGTCAGAGTTTTTGACCGTATTCTTCAATTTCAGACACAGCAACTCCCATTGAGCTGTACACGCTTTAGAACCAACCCCCTGACTTAAAAGAGACTCTACTCGCTGTTTTGTTAATTGATAAATTCAAGTCACCAACTCATTCAATTTGCAGTCATCCACAAGTTACACTACTATTTGTACTAAACATTCTAGCCTTCAGTATCCCCAATCTGCTTCAAATCCAAGTCAGCTGAGGGACACGTGCCTCAAGTTAAACCAGTTTTGGTCTTATATTTGCAAATGCTTTCCTGAGGTATATAGGTGCAACACCTCTCCAGACCCATGCACTGCAATTTTGGGTGGCTCCCAACACCTTTCTATGCTCACCAAGATGCACAGTAAAACTGTACAATACAGTATGACCATTGCAAAAAGGAACGTCTTAACGATCGATGGAAACGTGATGTGAAACCTTCAAGACCTGGCTTTCAGTCGCTAGAAAAGTCGCTAGTCGCTAGAAAAAATCCACCACAAAGTCTAACTCAGCTCTACGAACCTTGATAAGATGCGGCATCCATTCTTAGTATACAGTCGAACCTCTGTTGACGATTGCCTCCCTTTTTTGAACAATTTGGTTCATGAACAAAATTTTTCAACAAAAAATTGCGCCGGTTGTCGTACCAAAACTCGGTTGCTGAACAACCCAACAATATCAGGTGGGCTGCAAGTGATCACTGAGCGATGAGCGTATGGTGTCAGTCTTGCCTCAGTTATGAAGGGATATATACGCACTAATTTTGCCAGTATTTCTTGCGCTGTGCTATTTTTTTTATCATAAATCACCACGGGACCTAAAAAAGTGAGTGAAAGTGGAAAGGCGGGAAAGAAAAATAGTGAGAACAGCAATAGCAGTAAAGAAAGATTGTACGAAAGCATGAGAATAATGCTTGTGTTTCAAATCTGCCTTAGCAAAGTTGTCGATTTGTACCATCATTAAGAACAAGGAAGCAAACAAAGAAGCTAAGGTTGCCAAAGGAGTGACTGTGATCACCAAGCAAAGATGTCAGACGATGGAAGAAGTGGAAAAGTTGCCACCAATTTGGATCAACAATTCGTGTACGAACCTGTACACCAAATACTTTGAATAGGCAACCATCAAGTTGCCACCAATTTGGATCAACAATTTGTTTCGTGTATGAACCTGATACTTTGAATAGGCAATCATTGGAGAGAAGTGGAAAGATTGATCCATTTGACATTGATTCCTATGTGGAAAATTGTTTTAGTTTTTTGAACTTTTCGGTTCACGAATGGCCTTCAGGTATAAATTAAGTTCACATTCCTTTCTGTCAACGTAACTTCTTGTTTTTGACTTTTACATAATGCCTGACTGGTACAATCTGTAAGCCAGCATTTATATTTTTTTTCCCAGCTGGGTTGTGCTTTTTTATATATTTATTTATATTTCTTCTTCACTGTATCTTTAACATGTGTGTTAAGTGTAAGTGTTTTTGGTTTTTTTTTCGCTACAGTGTGTTTTTAGTACAATATCATCATTTTGTGCCTTTTTTTTTTTGCTACAGTGTGTCTTTAGTACAATATCATCATTTTGTGCTGAGGAACGCTACAATATTTCTGATTGATTAGATGCTAATATATTTATAATTTGGATAATTATCTGCGTCAGTTTCCTAATGGCCGATAGCAAGTAAACAACAGCCGATGCTATTGTTCATCCCTAATTCATACATACTCATAAAAAGGACAGTTGCCATCACTTGAAACAACCTTTGTAATTTGCTAAGAGTTGTTAAGTATAAATTTTAAAAAAAAAGTATTCTGCATGCAGAATCACTAGGAGTGACCTACCTGTTAGTCAGTGGTCCTATGAAAGGGTTGGTGATGAGCTGAACGGTAGCTTTGGATGCGAACAACAATCCCACTTTGACATTTTCACCCATCAACGTGTTGTCGGACATGACACAGTTTGTATCGTTTTGTGACATCGCTGCAGCAGACGGGTTCGTAGGGGCCACGGTAGAGGACACAGTCGTGTTGTCGTACAGAGAAACGATTCTATGGAAGGTTCCTGGAGGTTCCTTTTTTGTCCTGGTTAGGTTCTGCGCTGCTGCATCCAGGTCATACAGATAACTGGGAATGATGGGGACTGTCGGGTTGAGAGAGGGAAGCAATGAAAAATGAGTCAAGCGCTGACTAATTCTGACATATCACTTGATCATACATGACAAGATTCCCTTAAGGGTGATTTACAGCACTTTTTTTCAGAAAGAAAGAAAGACACGTTTGAAAGTTACAGTCATTTCTCCACTATAAGCGGCTACTTTATTCACACGCTTTCAATCCTGCGGTTTGAACAATGTATATACAAGTTGTAACGCGAGAACACAAACTGTTGCTAATACAGGAACTACTACTACTTGCTAATGCTATTATTAGTACGAATGTTATTGTTATCATTATCTCCAACAACAATTAAAAAAAAATTAAGCTCCACTGGAAAATATAAAATTTAATTATGGGGGATGGGGGGAGGGGTTCTTTTGAGACTGCAAATTTGCTCTGTCCCTAGCTTTTTTTCCAAATACTTCAAGGATACAAAATCAATTTTCATATAATGGTATGTATATATATATATATATATATATGTATATATATGTGTGTGTATATATATATATATATATATATATATATATACCTTCTGATTATCATTACCTAATCCTATGCGAAAATTTGAAGAGCTCCCTCTTAATTGACCCATGTTTGTTTCCCATTGTTATTCATTCGTAACATGCAGCAAAACAAACAAACAAAAAAAAAACAGGTTCTTAATTTTTAAATTATTGTCGTTGTTCTCATTGCTCATTGTCTTTATCAATATGTCTCATGGGTTCATCGTAATGTTTACTCAATTTTATATTGAGGGCCAGCAAAAAAAGATGAAGCCTGTACGATGCAGGCTCCCCCTGGTGGTACTTTTTAAATTAAATCACTGAGAGTGTCAGTTAAGACCTTAAGAATAATACTTTTTAACACGCATCGTTGGATAAAGGTTTAAAATAATAATAAAATACTTACCCAGAGTTTATGGACAAAATATGCCACAACTAGCAATAATCGCATTTTGTTTGAACAAATGATATACCGTTATAAACGGTCCTGACTTTTTCTCATCTATAGACAGTTATTAAATATTATATGAAACACCACAAGGTCTACAATATGAATTATTATTATTATTATTAATGTTCTTTTTTTTTCTTTTTTTTTTTTAATTTAGTTATTAGTAATAGTAAAGCAAGAGCGTGAGCCGCTGCCTGCTGCGCAACGCATGTTGGACCACCTGTTGCGCAAAGTGGAGAAGTAATACAAAGACAACCACAACACAACACAAAGAAACGCAAGAGGTGAAAAGGTAAAAAATAAAAAATAAAAAAAAAAACCTACCGACTACAGTCAGCAACATGTTGTCCAGAAGCAGCGCGACAAAAACAATAAATATAATCAGTTTCCTCGACTGTCTCTCGTCTCTGAGCCATTTGATCAAGTTAAACGTCCGGAGCGCATTTAGTTTTTCCATGATGGAAGTCCTGGAAACAACAGGGACAGTTCACGGGAGGAAGAAAAAAAAAAGAACAATTCCTCCCGGAGAGAACAGAAGACGTGAGTAACTTCACAGATGACAAATCCGTCTCTGAATCAGCAGAGGAGATCTTACCTGAGGAAGCAGAAGGGCCAAACAGCAGCAAAGAGGGGAGGAGGAGAAGAAGCAGGAGAAGGAGGACCAGAGAGGAGGAGGAGATCATTACTGACGTCATCCTGCCTTCATGTTCTGCTCTCTGTCACACATCACGGACAGTGTACCAGACTGAGCACGCACATAGAACGGACAGGGTTATTATTAGCGGGAGTCATCTATGAAGTTAACTTAACGGGAAATAATGACTGACATAAAAACAACTTTGTAAATTCAGAAGGTACATTTTCCCCGTTTTTTGTTTTTTTTTTTGTTTTTTTTTTTTTTTGTAAGGAGAGCTTTCATTTATCAATAATACTTCACACTCAGTATTCTTACTGAAATTAAACTTAAAGATAGGTTTGATCCTTATACAGTACACTGGACATCAAAACTACATAAAGTACCTCGAGCAACATAACGACAAACCGCAACTCAAGTCGAGGAGAATTTTCTCAACTTCTCGAAACAAAAAAAAAATTGGTTATAATTTCACAAAAAATATCATGAACATGAAGTGTTTGTATGTTTTTTTTTTACTTTCAAAATCCATCAAGCAGGCCAAAGGGCAGCAGATACTGATACACAGCCTAGAGTGCCCTCTAGCGGCTGTCAGTGTGAAAATAACAAACGTGAAATGATATATTTTAATATATAAGTCACACCTGAGTATAAGTCGTAAATCCAGTCAAAGGATGGAAAAAAATTGCGATTGCGATCTGGAAAATACAGCTGACGTCGACGACGAAGAAGTGACCACAGAAGTGCAGATTTTTGCTTTGTGATACCAGTGAAGATTTGAGGTACGAGCTCGAAGCTAGGTGGCCGAGCACTTGGAGCAGCCCACGCCGCTTCACTCGTTCACATCACTTGTTCATCGACTTCCATACGAGTCTTCCGTATTGTTTTTGCGTGATCATCTACGTGGTTTTCTTTCTATTTTGTGCATTAGTCTTCGTAATAGTGACGAGTCCTAAGAAAGTGATAGAAGAAACACATGATGACCATGGAAATAAAGCATGAAATTGTCGATAAATAATTTTAATATATATAAAAATGTATATATCCATCCATCCATCCATCCATTTTCATCCGCTTATCCGTTACCGGGTCGCGGGGGCAGCAGTCGCCACCCAAATCACATTGCACCATACCAAACCTTCCTGCGGGTGGTGAGTCCACTGGAAGGTACCAACCGCCCTAACCGGGATTCGAACTTGCCCAGGAGGTGA